GATCTAGATCTGACCTGTCTTGAAGAGTGGGAGGCACAAATGGCTGCCATCAAGCTGGGGGCCACAATAAACTCACTTGGTGCCCCTCCCCACCTGGGGGTTGCAGAGTACGTCTTTTTCTTGCCCTTCCTTAGCCTGCACTTACTCTGTAGAGCACGTTTCTTGTCTTTTTCTATCTTTAACAAATGTAAGACCTTGCTAACTTTTAAGATTTGTTTTGACCAATTATTTGTTCAGGACATGAAGAATCTAGAAACCACCTGTAGAAGAAGATCCCAGCACTCAAGACCTGGTGACAGCAGCCTCAAGTGAGCGGCCTCGTTCATTGGTTGGTGTACACCATCTAGGTTTGTGTTAGTCTGCTCTGTGATATTTACACAACAAGGTAATCACCTAAGGATGCATTTTTCAGAGCACTTTCTGTTGTTAATGCATGACTGTTCTCTTACAGAGTGAGATGAAATGAGTGTCTGAGATGAAAAGCCAGTTGCATGTTGGTGATGATACAGGGGAGCAACAGGAGCTCTCACGCTGCTGATGGGGGAGTGAAATGGTGTAGTCATATAGGAAACAGTCTGCCGTTATTAGTAAAAGTCCAAAGTTTATGTCTGTTCCAGTGATTTAGCAGAATAACGCATAGTAGATTGTGAAGGTTCTCCCAGAGCATGTGCGAAGGTGTTCATAGCTGCACTGTAGAAATGCCAAGAACCCTAAGATACAGATGCTCACTAATGCTAAACCATGTTGACCTGGAACATTCAAGGGAGAGAGTGTTGTGCATCAAGGAAACTGGATGACTTGCAGCTACAGGCAGCACCATGAATAAATCTCAGAAGCAGAAAGAGCCAGATATGAAAGAATTCATCCTATTTAATGCCATATACATTTTAAAATCACTTAAGAATATATTCTTTATGTCTTTGGTTAGATAAAGTTCAAAAGCAGCATAAATGCTGCTGGAGGAATAAAGAAAAGCTTGGAAGTATTTACTATAGAGCTGGAATGGTGGCGAGCCCTGGGGAGTTTCCCCAGGGAGAAGGCAGCAATGGCAGCGGGCAGGCTTGGGGATGGCAATGCCCTGTTTCCTGACATGGGTGGCTGTCAGTTTCATTAGAAGGTGTGCGCTTAGTTTTACGCACTTTCCCCAGACCCTGTGCCAGCCTGAAGCCCTGCTTTCCTGGCTTCCCCCACGGTGGTCTTCTTGCCACTTTTTCTCATCTCTGTGCTGTTAGGCACCTAAAGACGCTCAGCTTAATGCAGGGCATGAGCTTCACTACTTCATCTAGACTTCATCTAGATGTGGGGAGTCACCCAAATTCCAACAGGCCTCCAGTGAAACACTTCCTCTTCCTTGTTCTATCTTCTCTTAGATTTCCAGTCTAAACAACGGGGATCTCTTCCCCGTTGACATTCCATGATGGAGACCCTGACTTCCCATTCTTTTGTCTACCCCAGAAACCGGGCTCACTGTTAATGTGCTTACCCCACTCACCAGAGCCTGGTTTTCATGATATGCACATCTGTGCTGCTACTCTTCTTCTGTGTGTCTACTCTTCTGTCTGGCAGCTGATTTCGTTCACTCAGTAATTCTGGTATAGATAGCATTACCACCCTACCTTATGCAGGAGAGTGTGAAGGTGCCAAGCAGAGTGCCATCCCCGCCCATATCCTGATGTTTCAACACAGCCCGTATCTGTATAAGAACCTCCACCCCAACACTGTGTCCCTGCCTCCAGCTTTGTGATGATGGTCGCACTAACATTATACCTTGTCTTGCACCCATGCAGTCTTGCTCCATTTTATCCACCTTCAATAGGACTACCCAGGGCATCATGAAAAGTAGGAATTTGATCATGTCAGTTTTTGTGACACCTTTCCTCTCCTTGTGCACCCAGAGGCCTGGGGCCACTGAACCTCCCTGAACCTTGGTCACCTCTTCATCCTGGACACATGCTTGTCTCTTTTAGGGCCTGCACTGTGCACAGCTAGCCCTGTTTGCATGTGAGGCTCTGTTTACCTCCTCTGCAATGCTCTCATAGGCTCTTGTCCACCCAATTCCAAATGCATGTTTGCATGTTTATTGATTATGTGCTTGGTGCAGGTTCACAGCACTATTTTATACTTCATGATGTTGTAATTGCTCACTTTTGTCTGCTCTATTTTTCGTTTTGTTGTTTGAGACAGAATCTCATTATGTAGTCCAGACTGGCCTTGAACTCACTGTGTAGCTCAGCCTGGCCTCAAATTCACTATGATGCTCCTGTCTCAGCCTTCCAGATACTGGGGTTGTAGGCATGCACCACCACACTCAGCCAGCTATGCTTCCTGAAGGCAGAAATAGTATATTGCTCCCTCTTGGTGTGTCCTGTTAGTGATGGCTGTGTGTAGAGGACAGGCAGTGATTTTGCTGAAACTGCTGCAGAATGTCTTGTTGAGAGGAGCATGGGAAGGAGGACTCCAGCCCTGGCTGCTAGGAATGAACTGCTGCTCAGACTCTCTGCTGATGTGAGGTGCCTGCAGTCTGGAATGCTGTTTTTTGATAGAAGAGCATGAGGAACAGAAACTAGGACCACGGATGTGCCTCCCCTTGCTGCCCAGGAATAGCCATTGTGTGCCAGGGACTCTTCTCCAGCCAGAATGTCCCACTGCCTGTACTCTGTGACTATCTCACTCCATGGGGAATCCAAACCAGTCCCACGCTTACCATCTTTCCTCCTACACTTGCTGCTTATGAAAGGGGTCATCATATGCCCCTCCTGCCAAAATCCAGTAAAACCTTGGTTTGAGAGCATAATTCATTCTGGAAACACTTTTGTAATTCAAAGCACATGTATATTAAAATAAATTCCCCCATAAAAGATAATGGAAACTCAGATAATTTGCTCCATAATCTGAAAATATTTACATGAAATTTAAAATACTACTATATAATATGAAGTAATAAGGAGGTTCCAAAAAATAAAGAAAAATAAGTAAATTAAATTAAACTTTGAAACCGCTCGTGACTGGTGTGAAGGAGCTAAGAGAGAGGAGAGCTCCCTTGGAGGATACTTTTCTCTCCCATTAATGGAATCACTGCTGTTATTGGGTCTATGGAATCTTTTCATTTCCATGCGTCTTTAACCAGGAAGCTACTCTGTGACACTTGCTTTTGCCACCTTTTCTGGAACGTTGGACAGATTCACAGTTCACACTGCTACAGCCTTATTTGGGTGGTGCTTTTCTGCCAGATTTGCACTGTTCCCTGTATTTTACCCATCTCTCTAATCTCATTTGAGGTAGAGATTCTTCAGCCTTTTTCTTCTCTTTATCTGAGATGAGATCCCTATAATCTATGGCTATTGGGAGTTGATCACCCACAATCCCACAGAAAGAGAGAGAAGAATCTTTGGCTTATGAGACATTTGCTATTAAGCATTACTTGTATCACAAGACAACACTTATTTATCAAGTTAAGTTTTTAGAAATGTTTGCTCATCTTGTGGAACAGCTGCAGAACAAGTAACGCACAGGTTTTGCTGTATACTGGATCCGAAGGGACTGAGCAGAACAGATGCAGAAGGCACCCTGCCCTCCCTGTCTCCCTGAGGCCAGCCTGGCTCTCTTCCCACAGAAGTCCTCTGTTACATACAGCGGGAGAACAGCCCTCACCCAACGAGTCAGGGACACTGAGGTGAGCTTGTGCAACCTGCTTTAATGGCAGTCACGCATACCGCCCACTGCTGCTCCTTAATACTTCCTGTGTACCGGCTCACATTGGAATTGGCCCCCAAAGTGTCCAAGCCTCTTTTTCTCCACTTCATCACATCATCCTCGCAAGGTGCTTCCCTTGGTTAGAATGGTACATAAGCTCCCAAGGTTAACCACATCTCTGTGATTTTGCCTTCTGTGAGGCCCTGCCTGATACATGTGAAATGAAAAATACTTCTGAAACTTGTGTGTTTTTCCTCTATTAATTTGCCTTTTATACTGGGGAACGAGAAGGGTGGAGGAAGGTTTTCCTCCATAAGAAGGGCACTACCTTGACTATCCTACACACCAGCGCACTGTGGCTCTGGAAGGGTGCAGGAGCTCCCTTATGAAAGGGGTCATGATGGTCGCACTAACATTATACCTTGTCTTGCATCCATGCAGTCTTGCTCCATTTTATCCACCTTCAATAGAACTACCCAGGGCATTACCCATCTCTCTAATCTCATGATGGTCATGAGACCATCTATGAGCCTCTTTCTGTGTCAGCACCTAAAAGCTCTGTTTTGCTCAGCTCTGATCATGAGGCCCAAAATGTGGACCTTGTCTCTTTTCTGAAGCCCCCACGCTGAGTGTTGGGTCAGGATGGGAAGCACAGCTAGGAGTAACTCTGAAAATCTCCACTCTGCACCAGCTCAGAATGACCTGGCCTTTTTCAGTGCTGAGGAACATACAGCAAATGCCATGCCACTGAGCTACACTACTGCCCCTCTTGGGTTTCTGACAGGTTCCTTCTAAGACTGTGTGCCCAGCCCTGTCCTGAGCAGCATTAATCATGCAGTGAGCTTGGGCTGATGACAGTCTGGTTTGTGTAACCCGGCCACTCTGAGGCAAGCACTTTGACCACCATGGGATGGAGGCTGGGGGCTCTGGTGTAAAGAAAGGAATCTAGAGACCTAACTCCAACCAGAATCTGGCTCTCCTATTCTTTCCCTTTCACTGATCCTTTGGAAAGGTGCCTGCGGGTAAATACTGCCAACTGCACTGGTATTGTGAGCCTCAGGGGAGAAGGGAGGAGAAGGCAGTTTTGTTTCTGAGTGACAGAGCAAATTTGGATCAACACAAGTTGTGAAAAGAGACTTTTCAGGTTTGTCAACCCAGAAGAGCTCAAGGAGGAAAAGTAATGGGCTGAAAGTGTGCCACTGAAATGCTTGATAATCCCACTGCTTAAGCTAAAGGATTGCAAGGAGCAAAGAAAGAGTATTGTTCCATTTACTGGGTCTCAGAGGAAGGGGAAGAGCACTACTCACCTGGAAGCCGGTGTTGTTGTAGCCCTGGAGTCTGAGGGCGGCTGGATGTGTCAGCTCCATGTTCCGTTCTGCTGCCTGGGCTCCAAAACCCTTTCTGAGATCTGAGCGTACGTCCTGCTAGCTGGACAAAAGAACACAGCCTCTAATGATGTCACGAGGCCACCTGCAGCCAGGCAGAGCTGGGCATTGCTTCAGTTTGGAAACTTCTGAGTGACGAGCTGAACCAGGTTGGGGTGGGGCTGGATGGGCTAAGGGGCGGGATAGAGGCCTCTAGGGCAGCCTGTCCTCCTCCAGCACCTTTTCAGTTGCTGCTGTGGTTGCCTTCTCCTTTCTCCTGAGAGAAAACTTCAGTCCTGTACAACAGAAAATGATCCTCTCTCTTTGGTCCTCAGGCACTAGTCTATATCTGTGGATGGTGTGAGGACCAGCATGGTGCAGGGCAGGGGGTGGGGGCAGGACCACAGGGCCAGGTCCCATCACGGGATCTCTCTCTGGTGCCAAGCATGTTAGGCACAGTGCATACAGCTCCATGTTCCATTTGGGGAAACTGAGGCTTCAGAAAGTTCATAGCTTTTTTCAGACACGTAGATGATAAAGGGGCAGTGAATGTCAGGTTCAGCTCTGGTCATTCCAAAGCCTTCCACTGTATCCCAACATCAGACCAGGTAGCTTTCAAGAATCCAACTCCCAGAAGTGCGGAGAAGCCACAAATAAGTGGGGGTGACCAGCTGCTTACTAGGTAAAAGGATTCTTTGTTTCATGAGTTAGCTATAGAATTCTTTCAAAATAGGGACTTTACCCCTCTGGTGTTTAAAATGAGCTACTATGTATCTGATAATTATTATAACTGTGTGGTTTCTGTGAAAACATGGAAAATACTTATGATAAGTGAATAACTGAGTGTTATAATTTAATAGAGCAAAACAATGGGCAAAATAATGAAAGAAAATCCCAGCTCTTACTAGTGTTATTTCTGGATTGGCTTTTATGCTTGACGGTTATTTTCTCCATACTTTTGTGGAATTTTATATAAAATGTGTGACACTTGCTGTTGTGATAGAATATCTATTAAGGTGAGGGGAATACAGTCTGAGTTTACAGCTTGGCTCTGCCTCTTAATCATAGGAAATTACAGCTTCACAGCCGAATCTAGCCCACTGCCTCTTTTTAACATGACCCAAGCGCTAAGAGTAAGAATGAGTTTTAGATTTCTAGGTAGCTGAACAGTAATCAAAAAGAAAAATATTATATGACAAGTAAAAATTATAGGAAATTCAAATTTCCCATAGGAACGGAGTTCAGTGGGTCTGGAAACGCACACCCATGCGCTTACACATTGTCTGCAGAAACTTCCTTTCCAGAAGCTGTGACAGAGACTGTACTGGTCACAAGTAAACCATCAGTGCCCTGGACCTTTGCAGCAACTGTGTGCTGCCCTGATTTGTTGCACAAGTAAGCTGGGCAAGTGACTTGCTCCTTGCAGTTTGGTTCACCATGCAATGAGCTAACTGTCTTGGACGTTTGGAGATACGGATCCCCAGATAGGCTGTGTTTGCTGGGCTGTCTACTCTCACTCAGGGTGGGTAGATTGAACCTAATGAGAAAGTCACCAGCAAGCTTGGGGGAGCAAAAGCTTCTAAGGAGAAAGTGGTTTCTGGGCAGGGGGAGGTGGTTGCTAGGCATTGGAGGAAGTCGTCAGGGATTAGATTTACCCAGGCTTCCTGGGACTAGTGGTTGGGATGCTGTGCTCCGTGATGGTCTTTCCTGGTGAGCATTGCACGAAGTGCCCATGTTAAAGGATTGCTGGGTTGATAACACGAGTTACCATGTATCCTCAGAAACACTGGAACGGTGCCTGACACATATCTCCTAACTCAGTACTGCCCAAGCTTCCCTTGCGCTTGAGCTCTTCAGTGTTTCTTATTGATGAACACGACTTGGGCATTTCTATTAGTTTTTCCCCATAATGCAGCACGGTACAATTAGTAGTCACTGTTAGCTAAGACGAAACTCTCACTAGAGGTGGTCAAGACAGGTGTGGGTAAATGGAAAGCAGACATGTGGGAAACCAACTGTGAAATCATTTGAATAAACACTCTGCTGCCACCTGTTATAATCTCTGTGAAAGCAAGACTCAGCCTAGTGTATGGTTGTGATCCTTACTTTCTGGAGGAAAGGAAAAACCTTCATTCTGTCATTTGTGGTTATAATCACAGAAACTTTGTTCCTGACATTTCCACAGATACCTCTAAAAATGCAATCCCATGCATTTTCTGCCCATCAGTGGTAGAAAGAAAGGTTGAGCCAGGTGTGATAGAACACATCTGTAATCCCAGCACTTGGGAGGCTGAGGCAGGACTGCCACAAGTCTGAGGCCAGTCTGGGCTACACAGTAAATTAAAAACTGGTACGAACTATATAGTGAGATCCTGTCTAAAATTATTTTTTAAATGTTTAAAAGAATGCAAGGATCTTAGAGAGCTTCAATGCACCAGTGATAGCACCATGCAACACTAATAGAAAGTTACAGTGACTCCCTCCCTTCCCCTTCTCCGACCACAGTTACCATAAGCAAACAGAAACCCAAGGAGAGTAAACCGCATACACAACTATGACCCTAAAATGCCAAATGATGGTGAAATTCAGAAAGAGTCCAAGTTAAGACACTGTGTATCTGAAGCCTACACTGAACATTCAGAATTGCTTGCAGCAACAGAATTAATTTGACTTATGGGCTATCACTTAACAGGGTAGAACTTAGGGCCACACTGTGGCTCATTTTCTGAATTTAGAAATACGCAATGTATTGGAAAATACAGTAAAATGCCCTTTTGATTCATATGTCTGCACTGAAAGTCAGTTTCCAGGTGTGCAGTCACTACTCGGAAGGACCAGTTTGTTCCAAGGTCAACGCCCCCTCTCTTCCCACAGCTGAGCCGTTTTCCCTGTATATCCTTCCAACTCCGCTTTAAACCTGGAAACCGTTGTGCAGGAATCAAGCAACTGGGCTTGTGTCACATAATTCCTGTACGCTATTCTGTTCCCTGATTGCTGAATTATAAAGACTAAGACAGACCTCACCAGTCCTGTGTGCACAGCTTGTTATTTATGCTTTGGTGTTTTTGAAACAGGGTCTTGCTGTATGGTTCAGCCTGGCTTTGATCTCACTATGTGGTAGTCCAGGCTAGCCTCGAACTCATGGAAATTCTGTGTCAGCTTCCCAAAGGCTGGGATTACAAGTGTGCACTGCTACAGCTGGCTAAAGTCTCGATTGAAAAAAAAGTAAAAATAAATTAAATCCATACACAGTGAAGGACTGCTTTTCTTGTTTTATGCCTGTAGTTCGTTAGTGAGTTCACTCGTTGTGACAATATTTCTAAGAGAAATAAACTAAAATTTTAAAAATTGCACATAACAGAAGTCCAATGTTGAGGTATACATTATAGTGTGATTTTTATCTGCTGCTTACTGTCCTCTATGAAGACATTTCATGTACTATACATTACCATTCATATGCACAGCTTGAAACTGTTTTATCCATAAATCAAATCCTATTAATACAAACAACATTGATATTAAAAATAAATAATAAAAGTGTAATCCTGCATGGCTTACAAGTTGGTTTAATTTTTCAGACCACCTAAAAGAAAAGAAAAAGCAGTATGACAATGTAGACCAGGCTAGGGGTATCACCCATGGCAGTGAATGTGTTTAGCATGTGTGAATCCCTGGATTTAATCTCCAGTGCCAAATAAATAAACTTAAAAAAATAAAACAAAAAATGTGCATTCAAAATGGGACATGCTTTAGGATTTGATTTTCTAATGGTCAGGTTTTACTTTCCGACACGCCCGCCACCCCAGGAAAGGCCCGCTTTAGGGGCATAGGACTCCCCTGAACATGCCTGTCCCAGAGCAAAGCCTTATTCACTGCCGGTGTCACTGGGAGAGGTGGCCCTGGCAGTGAAAGAGTGCTGCCCTGCTGAGCACTCCTTCATGTAGCTGTGGGGTACTCATGGTGCTCCCGTTCAGTCCTCACAACAGTTGGGCCCATGGAGTATTAATGCCCCTTTCCAAGGAGACAAAGGGAGCTCTCTGGACACCCTGCCAGGAAGTGGCAACATCATTCTCTGCCCCAAGCCTCTGGAATGCAGTGCCCCTAAAAGCCATGTTCTAGAAAGAAGAAAGCCTGGGGAGGTGAAGTAGTGTTGGTTCCCAAAGTGCTCACTTCGCTTCCAAGGAAAGCCAACCATAGGCAAAGTAAACTCAGCGTGTTAGTAAAATAGAAAACAATGAGATTGGTGGGAAGGTAGCCTTTAATTGACTTGCTCACTTTGAAATCTTGGGGAAAAAACTCAAACCAACCAAGAAACAAACCAAAAAGTTGCTGCTGCTAGCTGAGGTGTTCCAAGCATCTGGTCGCCAGCTGGATTCCGCTGGGCATGAATGCTCAGCCCTGTGTTCTCTCCTGTTCTTGGAATAAGTCAGCTGTGGCAGAACAGCTCATCCCTGACCAAGGAGAAACAGAGGAAAAGCGCTGAACCTCGTATCGAGGGGATAGGGACATGGACAACATTACTTGGCATATTTTAGGACCTTGAGTTCAATCTCCAGCACTGCACAAAACAAATGAAAAACCTCAAAATCTCTATAATCTTGTGTGTGCCAGGGATTATGTGTGATGTTCGTAACTAGCCAACTTGCCCCAGGAGCCAGGGCCGGGGCAAAGTAAGCAGAGAGGACAGGTGCAGGTTTATGGGACAGCTTGATTCTGGGGCAGGGGCAGGGGCAGCCCCTGAACATAGGAGACCTGCATAGACCTGCCCAGCTCACCCTTTTCACCCTGTTGGGAGAGCGATCTATGGGGTTCTTTAGTTGAGGGGAGCCTGTTAACTGAACCAGCTTTGGACTTGGGCCAGCTTTTCATAGGCTTTACGTCTACATTAACTGGGCGCAACATCAGCAAGATACTCTTAGTGATCTCTTTAAGCAACTATTGTTACCTGTAAAACCAGGTTCATAGTTGCACCTGTCCTAAGGGTTTACTGTAAGGATCAATCGAAGTCCTTACAGAGAAAGTGTTTAGCACTGGATATTAAGTACTGAGGACTGAACCACCTTT